TATATCTGGAGAGTAAAAAGTCTGGTATAGATGTGGTTATCTTATCTCCATATTTTACATTGTACATTAACTTTCCCTTTGTTCCTAAAAGAACAGAGCATGTTCTCTTAGTATATACATGACAAGCTGGTAAAAATGAATAGGGGGATTTTGTTTCATTAATAACCAAGTTCACAATAGGTAATAACTTAATGTTCAGGGAATAACATTTCTGATTAACTTAGGAACAGAATTATTAACTTATGGTGCAATTAACTGGTGGCAGTAGATTTCAGGGGACTATAAATTAATTGTTTCTTGGTTTCTGAATTTCTTAATTTTTTTCTATGATCATGTGTTACTTGCATAATTTAAAGTGTGAAAATTATGAAATAAAATCTCTAAATTCCCGTAAGAAATATATAATGAACAAAACTGAATCTTTGCTCATCAGAGATCCTGCAATTATTATTCTGAAATGGAATTATCTATATATCCTGTATGAGGATATCTACATTTGTATATTTATTTCTACATATCAATATGTAGGTATATATACCTATATATATCTATATACAATCTGTCCTTGAACTGTGAGCTTCTTGAGGATAGACTATTAATCTTCATATCTAAATTATTTTACAAAGATCCCGACCCATGATAGAACCTTAATGTTTGTGTATGAATAAATGAAGTTGATATACCAATCATTAAAAGTTAAATGATGATCATGTAAATTTTTTAAAAGTTAAATTAACTATTTTAGAACACGAAATGGAAAATATTATCTCCATTAGCTCTTTTTAAATATTTTTATTAATCATTGATGAATCTTTATTTTATTTATTCATATGTAGTGCTGAGAATTGACCCAGTGCCTCACACGTGCTAGGCAAGTGCTCTACCACTGAGCCAAATCCCCAGCCTTACCTTTTTTCTTTAAGCTTTATTGAGATGCCTTTTACATATAAAATTCACCAACTTCCAACATATAATTCCATAATTTTTGAGTAACTAAAAAGTGATATGACCATCACCATAAGCCAGTTTTCACACATACTTCTATATGGTCTCTCATGCCCGTTTATAGTCCCCAACCTCCAGCTCTGGACAACCACTAACGTACATTTCATATAAATGGAATCATGTAAAATATATAGGTCTCTTGTGTCTGACTTTTTTCACTTAACATAGTGCTTTTGAGATTCATCCATGGAATAGCATGTAGTGGTAGCTCCATTCTTTTTATTGCTGAATAGCATGCCATTGTCTGAATATGTCTACCCATCAGCTTTTAAAATTAAAAAAAGATAAACAGCTACTTAGAAATTACTACAAATGGGCTGGGATTATAACTCAGTGGTAGTGTGCATGCCTAGCATATGTGGGGCACTGGGTTTGATTTTCAGCACTGCATATAGATAAATTAAAGAAAGGTCCATCAAGAACTAAAAAGAATTTTAAAAATAACTACAATAGGTAAACTGGGTTCTATTCATTCAGCAAACATTTATTGAAATAAATATAACTTTAGTGAATAAAATAAAAAAAGATAACTAAGACTAGCCTTTGGGGAAATAGCTGTGTAAGCAATTATAAAATTTGAAGAGAATTAAGTACTCTGTTAAAATATAACTCAGGTAATATTCATCAAAAGAAGAAAATATTTGTGGAGATATTTTGATATTTGATATTCCTCAAAGAAATTATATTTGTACTGAATTGATTCAATTTCCTGGCAAGGAATGTGAGGAAATGATATTTCCTTTGTAGAGAATGATATTTTAAAATTTGTACAAATGCAAAAGTATATATTCTACTTCAGAAACAACCAATTGTCCTGTGTGAATGAAATAGGGAATATTTTGGATAGGAGATGGAACTAAGAATTGCTGCTTGCTAACTTAAAAGGAAGGCCTTAAGCCAGGCATCGGAGCTTACGCCTAGAATCCCAGTGACTTGGGAGGCAGACTCAGAAGGATGGTGAGTTCAAAGCCAGCCTCAGAACTTTGTGAGGCCCTAAGCAATCAGCAAGATCTTGTTTCTAAATAAAATATAAAAGAGGGCTGTGTGAAGGACTTAAAAACAGCATACTACAGTGACACAGCCATATCGGTGTTTATAGCAGCACAATTCACAATAGATAAACTGTGGAACCAACCTAGATGCCTTTCAGTAGATGAATGGATAGGGAAACTTTTGTGTATATATACACAATAGAACATTACTCAGCATTAAAAGAGAATAAAATCATGGCATTTGCAGGTAAATGGATGAAGTTGGAGGATACAATGCTAAGTGAAGCAAGCCAATCCCAGAAAACCAAAGGCCGAATGTTTCCTTTGATATGAGGAAGCTGACTCATAATGGCGATGGGGGGAAAGCAAGGGAAGAATGAAGGAACTTTAGATAGGGCAAAGGGGAGAGAAGGGAAGGCAGGGGGTAAGGCAGTAGAAATGATGGTGGAATGAGTTAGACATCATTAACCTTAAGTACATGTATGAAGACACAAATGGTGTGGAAATACTTTGTGTACAATCAGTGACTTGAAAAATTGTGCTCTAAATGTGTAATATGAAATGAATTGCTTTCTGCCATCATGTATAACAAATTAGAATAAATAAATAATTTAATTTTAAAAAGAGGGCTGGGGATGTGGCTCAGTGGTTAAGCTCCCCTGGGTTCAATCCCCGGTACCAAAGAGGGGGAAAAAAAAAGGAAGACCTTAAATGTAGTGCTATGAAGTTTATCTTGATTCTATGAGACATTAAAGGAGAATTATTTCAATTCTTCATTATGACCAAATTAGGCAGGATAAGGGAAAGTTGGCATGAGGGCAATTCAGGAGGCTGAGGCAGGAAGATTACAAATTTGAGGCCAGCCTGCTCAACCGAGTGAGACCCTTTTTCAAAATAAAAGACAAAAAGGGCTTGGGTTATAGCTCAGTAGCTTAGTAGTAGCACCACCCTGGGTTCAATCCCCAATGTCTCAAAAAAAAAAAAAAAAAAAAACAGTTGGGGGGGTGGGAGAGAGAGTAAAGGAAAGTGAAAAGAGGGAGAGAAAGAAAGACATCGAAACTCTGATGCCCCCCTCTTATATTGACCTTGTGATTGTATTTCACCCACTCAGTTAATTTTCCATCTCAAAATCCTGAATTTAAATCCTTATCCTGAATCTAATCACATCTGCAATGTCCCTTTTGCCATGTACAACAACATTTCCTAGGTACCAGGGATAAGACTGTGGACATCTTTATGAAGGAGGGAGATTTATCGGCTGTTTCTTTGATAATCTTCTAACCTTGCAGAAGGTTGTATAGTTATTTGTTTGGTTTTGGTTTTGCCATTTGGAGTCTATCCTAGTAAATGATATAAAATGCAGATTAGACTTTATTTTTTCCAGATAGCTTTTTATAGTAAATGATACCTACCCCACCCATTTACTGAGAAGTCCAACTTTTCCTTAAAATATAGTGAATTCCTATATATAATTTGGTTGCTTTCTGAAGCTTCTATTTTGTTCCATTGTCCGTGTGTCTAAAAAGTACATGTTTTTTAAATTACACAGGGTTTTTAGTATGTCACAGTATCTGGTAGGACTAGACAAAATTTGCTCTTCCTTTCCACCCCTCCCCCATGTATACATACAGTACCTTGCTCTTCTGTTCTCAAGGTTTTCCCTACCATTTTTGTTTGTTTATTTTTTTCTACATGAATTTTAGAATCAACTTGCCTAATTTGGGGTGTTGTGGAGATTGTTAGTTTCATTGGAGAACTATGAGGTTAGTTAGCTCTTACTGTCTTTGAACATCATATGTCTTTACAGTCATTCAAGTTACTTTCCCCACTCCAAGTACTGGGGATTGAACTTGGCATTTTACCACTGAAGTATATCCCTGTATCCTGCCCCCCCCCCCCCTTTTATTGAGTCAGGGTCTCTAAGTTGCTGAGGTTGGCCTTGAACTTACAATTCTCCTGTCTTAGCCTCTAGCTGGAATTACAGGTGTGTGCCACAGCACTAGCTCAAGTCACTTTTGTTCCTTCAGTAGTATTGTAACATTTTCTTCATAACAATTTTGTACATTTTAAGTTTATTCCCAGTTTTTAATCTTTCTTTTTGTATAATGGAAGAGAAGATACTGTTTGTAATACTCTCTGATTAGTTTTTATGTATGAAATCTATGGTTAATACATTTATTATGTTAATTACAAATTATTAATTTTAACACCTCTCTCTTACTCAATTATCTTGTTTGTAGTATTTTTTTAGTTGAGCCTCTCGGTTTTCCCATTGCAGTTTATATTGTCTTCAAATAGCAATAAACTCTTCCCTGCTAATCTTTATACATCTGTCTTTCTCTGTCTCTTTCATTACATTGTTAAACAGCAGCGGTGTTGTGCATCTCTGTCTTATTCCTGATGTTAGTGAGGAAGGCTCCTATTTCTCCATAAGTATTTGCTGGTTTTGGGCTTATACACACACGCACACACAATCCCCATCATGTTAAAAGAAATACACATCAGTTCCTACTTTACTCGTTTTTCGCACTCCCTGGATTAAATCCCCAGTACTAGGGATTAAACTCAGGGGCACTCGACTACTGAGCCATATCCCCAGTCCTATTTTGTATTTTATTTAGTGGGTAAGAATAGGAGTTGAATTTTATCAAGTGCCTCTTTAATGTGAATGGAAAAATACTGTGGTTTACATACTACTACATATTAACTTTTTATATATTAAAATACATTCTCAGGCCAGTCGTGGTGGCTCATACTTATAATCCCATCAACTCAGGAAACTGAGGCATGAGAAGGCAAATTCAAGGCCAACCTCAGAAAATGAGTGAGGCCCTAAGCAACTTAGTGAGACACTATAAAATCAAGATTCGGCATCTTTTAGTTCTGTTTTGTTGCATTAGCCAGTTTTGAATAGCTCTTTTCCTAACTCTTTTATTCATCAAAAACAGAAACAATTAAGTTACTCCTAAAATGCTTTTAATCTTGGCTTTTGTTACATTTTAGGAAAATTATATCACAGATGATATTGGAATATCAACTTGGAAGGAGCAGACTTTTCTCTCCCATGGTGCCTTACTAGCAAAGAGCTGCCAAGCTGCGATGGAATTAGCAAAGCATGATGCTGAGGTTCAGGATATGGCATTTCAGTATGGGAAGCACATGGCCATGAGTCATAAGGTATTTGCACACCCTTTATCTTTTGCCATACTTAAGTAGCTAAAGTGATATACAAAAAAAACCTTTTGCCATTTAATAAGCTACTTTTATATGTCAAAAAATGTTTGTATGCTCAAAATCTGTCAGTCATAGATGGTGTGTATAGTGTAAACAGTATGATTGTTAAGTACTATATAATTTTGACAGAAGTCCATAGTTTACTTAAGCCATGTTGTTTGTTTGTTTTTTTGTTTGGTGTTTTTTGTTTTGTTTTGTTTTTTTGTTTAGTACTGGGGATTTAACCCAGGGACAATTTACCACTTAGCTATATCCCCAACCCTTTTTATTTTTTTATTTTGAAATAGTCTCACTAGGTTGTTTAGGGTCTTGCTAAGTTGCTGAGGTTAGCCTTGAACTTGCAATCCTTCTGTTTCAGCCTTCCAAAGGCCATATTTTTGATGTTTGTCTTTTCTTTCCACCTGAAAGGGTTTTTTTTTTTTTGGGTGGGGGGACAGGCGGGACTAGAGATTGAACTTAGAGGCACTCGACCACTGAGCCACATCCCCAGTCCTATTTTGTATTTTATTTAGAGACAGGGTCTCACTGAGTTGCTTAGCACCTCACTTTCACTAAGGCTGGCTTTGAACCTGTGATCCTCCTGCCTCAGCCTCCCAAGCTGTACCACCGTGCCCAGCTGAAAGGGTTCTTGAGAGAACTCTTAAAATTATTAAATAACATATAATATTCCCATTGACAGAATGGGAGAATATTTGTTTGTTTGTTTGTTTTTAAGAAATATTTATTTATTTATTTATTTATTTATTTATTAGGTGTAGATGGACACAACACAATGCCTTTATTTTTATGTAGTGATGAGGATCTAACCGGGCTCCCGCAGGTACGAGGCGAGCGCTCTACCGCTGAGCCACAATCCCAGCCTGATATTTGTTATTTTTGATACCATTGCATTATAGCTCCTTATGTAAAATAAATTATGGGAAGTTATAAAATATGTTGAATAAAACTGAAAGCTTCAATTTTAATTGCTGATTCTTTTAAATGGTGTGTGTGTGTGTGTGTGTGTGTGTGTGTATATATATATATATATACACACACATATAAAATAGCCTAAAACTAGCTATTTATTTCTTTCATATATATGAATGATTTAAAATTTTCATTTAGTATATATTTTTAGGTGTTAAATAGCTCATAAAAGGGAGGGGGAAATATATATATATATTATAATATATATCTTCCAGATGAGTTTTTTTGCATATTTTATTAAATGTAATTTATTAAGTAATTATATTTATTAAACCTTTATCTAAATCCTTCCTTTTAACTTAATTAAAATAAAGGTTGCTACCAAATAAAAAAGAAATAAGACTGGGTGTAATGATGCACACCTGAAAACCAGCTGCAAGGGAGACTGAGACAAAAAAGGAAAAAAAATGAATGGGACTTAGGATGTAGTTCAATGGTAGAGCATGGACACACCATGCGAAGGCCCTGGGTTTGATCCCCAGCACTACCAAAAAAAAAAAAAAAGTATTAATGGAGAAAATTAATTAATTCTAAAGAATTGTAAAGGTTAATGTTAATAATCCAAAATGTTCTTTTGCTTATTAAAGCTTGCTAATGTGCATCTTAAAACTTCATTTTTTACTGCATTACTGGTGCTTTCTGAATATGACTAAAACATACTATTATGTATACATTTTACTGATAGAACTATTTTAACTACTCCTTTTAGATAAATTCTGACCTCCAGCCTTTTATTAAAGAAAAGACCAGTGACTGTGTGACTTTTCATCTAAACTCAGCTCCTGTAGTTTTACATCAGGAGTTTCTTGGAAGAGATTTGTGGATTAAGCAGATCGAAGAGGTAAAGTAATATTTTTCCTATTTTAGGTACTGTTAGTTGATTTTAGAACATAATATCTATTTCATGATGATTTAAGGGTATAGATCAGCCATAAAGGAGCATATTTATTTAGCAGACAAAACTCTTTCTTTATAATCTACATTTTTAAAAGGTAAAATATTAGTTAAAAGTTAGAGACTACACTCTTGTGTTCTCTTATTATCTGAGTTCTTCCAGTACTGCAGTACAACACTAGTGCCTGTGGCGAATGCTAATTAACGCAGGGGATATTTTTTTCTAAAGACTTCAGCAATCGGGCTATGGTAATAGCACCACCCTTTAGCTGACAGCAATTTCCCATCTGTGGACTCTAGCACAAGCTGCAGAATTCCAGGAGCTCCGTCTGTCAGCTCATTGGGTTATTTTAAAACAAACTTGGACCCTGAACACTTGTTCTAAGGCATTATCAAAGAAAAAACAGCATGATGAAGTGGGAAGGGTAAAGGCGTTTGAATTAGGTAAATTGCATACATTTTGGGAGGGTCTGGGGATGTCAAACATGAGGAAATTTTTTGGTTTTATTTTAATGCAGAAACTCTGGTGCAGAAGTTCTTGCTTTTTTATCCAAAGTCTCATGGAATTTATTTAACTTCGTGGTTGTAATGGGTTGGATTAATCTGAGGCTCTGACTAGGAAACCAGGCACAGCCTGAGGATGGGGAAAGTGGGGGTAGCTGCCATATTTATAGCAGAGAGCCTACATGAATATCTGCATTCTGAAAGATAACATTTCCCCTCCCTCAGTCGTCTTTCTGCATGGACTCTCAAAATGCTGGCCGCCAGATTAAAATCCCTCATATTTACCAGGTAGAAAATTGGGAGTCATTTCTTAGGAAACTGTCGAATTCTGGAGAAAAGATCTGCAGATAAGTGTGTTTGGGGTCCTCTCAGTAAACATGCATATCCACAAGCTTCCCTATAGCCATCCCCTACCAAGTGACAAGCCTCAGTGTATCCACATGAACAGAATCTCCAGCTGACTCACTTGAAGCAGAAAGGTAACATAGGACCACAGGACATTGAGAAAAGACTCTTCTGTAAGAAAAAGTCAAAAGCAAACTAATGAAAAGGGAACCCAGAGGAAACAAAAAATATGAGGAAAGAAAGACATTTCTAGAAACACTTAATATATGCTTAGCAAGATGTTAAACCCATGAAACAAAAACAGGTAACATATAGAAAAAGACATAGAAAAGGACAACCCAGCCTGGCACATTGGCACACACCTAAATCCCAGCCACTTGGGAGATTGAGGCAGAAGGATTGAAAGTTTGAGGCCAGCCTGGGCAACTTAGCAAGCCCCTGTCTCAAAAAAAAAAGAATGGGGATGTAGTTCAGAGGTAGAGTGCTCTGGGGTATAATCCCCAGTGCCCAAAAAATAAACATCCTCAAAACAAGAAATCAGAATTTAAAAATATAATTGCAGGGTTTTTTTGCGGGGGGCGGGGGGGAGAAACGGGGGGTTGGCTACCGGGGAATAAACTCTGGGCACTCAGTCACTAAGCCACATCTCTAGTCCTATTTTGTATTTTATTTAGAGACAGGGTCTCACTGAGTTGCTTAGTGCCTCACTTTCATTGAAGCTGGCTTTGAACTCAAAATCCTTCTACCTCCCCTGCCTAAGTCACTGGGATTTTAGGGGTGCGCTACCACGCCCAGCAAGATTTTTTTTTTTAATCAGAAGGAACATGAAAGACACAAATGAGAAAATCTTTCTGAAAAGTGAGCAAAATATGAAAATAAGAAAAACTCTTTCAGGAAATCTTACATGATCTTGCATGTATTAAGAGTCTCAGAGAGGACTGGAGTTGTGGCTTAGTGGCAGAGCGTTTGCCTACCATGTGTGAAGCACTAGATTTGATTCTCAGCACTACATATAAATAAATAAAATAAAGGTCCATTGACAATTAAAAAAATGTTTCAGAGAAAACTGAAAATGGAGGTGAGAAAATTAATCAAATTTTCGGGGCTGGGGTTGTGACTCAGTGGTAGAGTGCTCACCTTGCATGCATGCAGCACTGGATTCAATCCTCAGCACCACATAAAAAAATAAAATAAAGATATTGTGTTCATCTAAAACTAAAAAATAAATTAAAAAAAAGAAAATTAATAAAATTTTGAAAGTACACAGAGCATGATGGAACATGCCTGTAATCCCAGCTACTTGGGAGACTGAGGCCCTGGCAACCTAGCAAGACCCTGTCTACAATTTTAAAAGTGTTGGGGATGTGGCTCAGCAGTAAACTCCCCCCAACCAACCCCCCAGGTTCAATCCTTAGAATCTTAAAAAAACAAGTAACTTTTTTTTGAGGGGGAGGGCAGGGATTGAACTCAAGGGTGCTTAACCACTGAGTCACATCTCCAACCCTTTTTATTGTTTGACATGGGGTCTCACTTGGTTCCTTAAAACCTTGCTAAATTGCTGAGGCTGGCTTTGAAACTTCCATCCTCCTGCTTCAGCCTCCCAAGCCACTGGGATTACAGGCATGCACTACCATACCTGGCTATTAATAAACTTTTAACTTTTTAAAAAAGACATTTTTACAAAGAAACATTCTGAGAACTGAAGGCTGAAGTGCCATAGTTTCCAGATTGAAATGGTGGTAACCTAAATAATGAATTTTAAAAGATTCAGATGGGACTTGGGGTGATAGAGTCTATGCTTAGCATGCATTAAACCCTGGGTTCAATTTCCTAGTGCAAAAAAAAAAAAAAAAAATGTGAAACACACCAAGTCACATCATCATCAAAGTTTAAAAGAATAGGGATAAAGAATATCTCTAGGAAAAAAAAAAAAAGAAATTTTCTTTCAAAAGAGCAAGGATCAGAATGGTATCTCAGTTGTAACACTGAAACCTTCAAGACAGTGAAATAATATCTTCAAAACTCAATGAGAAAGTTGGGTGCTGTGGTGCACACCTATAATCCCAGTGACTTGGGAGGCTGAGGCAAGAGAAGGATTGCAAGTTTGAAACCAGCCTCAGCAACTTAGCAAGGCCCTATCTCAAAATAAAAAATAAAAAGCGCTGGGGCTGTGACTCAGTGGTAAAGTCTCTATGGATTCAATCTCCAATACAAAAAAAAAAAAAATCTAAAAAGGAAATTGCAATTTATAATTTTGTGCCAGCCATGTCATCTTCAAGTATGATATGAAGACTTTTTAAACTCATCTATAAGATTCCAAAAAACTTACCTTTCATGCACCTTTGTTTCAGGGAGCTGGTGAGTATTCCATAAAGACAGGGGAGTAACCAAGACAGAGAAAAAAGCCAAGGAGTGTAGGAACTATGGGATTATACATATGCATAAGGCCTGGGAATTACCAGGACAATGTAAAAGGAAGAGTTACAAATAATAATAAGGCCAACAATAATAGCATTTACTGTAAGTCAAGCACTGGTCTAATGAATAATCTGAAGTAGAGAGATTAAGTAATTTGCACACAGTCTTACAACCAGCAAGTGGTGAATCCTAGGCAGCCAGCTATAAAATCTGCATTCTTAGGTAATGTGCTGCCCTGTCATTCCAGCAAGTCCTAGGCTGATGGCTATATACCCAGTCTACACTGGGACAAGAGGACAGAGATCTCCTGGAGAAATATCTTAAAGGGAAAAAAAAAAAAAATGGAACTGATAAGTCACCCAATGTGGTTGATCATATTGCAAATCAGGGATGAATTAATTATAAATACATAGAAAATTAAATGTTCAGCCTGGCATGGTGGCAAACGCCTATGATCCCAGCAGCTCGGGAGGCTGAGGCAGGAGGATTGGATTGTGAGTTCAAAGCCAGCAAAACCCTAAGCAACTTAGTGAGACCCTATCTCTAAATAAAAAATAAAAAGGGCTGTGAATGTGGTACAGTAAATAAGTATCCCTGGGTTCAATCCCTGAAAAAGAAAGAGAGAAAAGAAGAGGAAGAGATGGTGAGGGAGGAGGGGAAGAGGAGGGAAGGAAGGAAAACTAAATAATAACTGTCCCAGTTATTATTGCTAGAACAAAACTTAGCTACCTACAATAACCATTTTATTTTGTTTGTGGATTCTGGGAGTTGTGAATTTGGGCAGAGCACACTGGAATGACTTGGCTCTGCTTCATGATATCTGGGGCCTTAGGTGGAAAAATTCAGGTGCTGGAGGTAACAACAATGCTGGGGACTAAAATCATCTAGAAGCTCTTTCACTCATAAATGGTACCTAAGCTGAGATGCCTAAAAAATTAAACTGCTAACCATCCAGAATGCTCATGCATGACCCTTCTTCCACTTAGCTTGGCTTCCTCACAGCATGGCAGCCTCAGAATAGTGGAATGTTCAGAACTGTAAACAGATATTCTACCATGCAAAGCAGAGGCTGCATCTTCCTTATGACCAGCCTCAAAAGTCAGTGCCATTTCCATGATCTCTTATCAAGACATGGATAAGCTTACCCAAAATCAAGTGAGAAATCATAGACCTCACCTCTTTATATAGCAAGAATGTCAAAGAATTTGGAGGTCATGTTTTAAAACAGACATACTGTATATGTATAGAATAAAATGAAATAATTGTATAGAATAAAATGAAATAATTATTAGATGTAGTGAAAAATTAAAAATGTATAAGAAAATGTAATCATAATATTCTATATAGCTAAGATAATAATATTTATAATAGCATAAAATATAAAACCTGGATATTTTAAGTAATAAATGAATTTAATTTATAAAATGAAGCAAATGCCTTTTGGAATTGGGAAACATTTCCAATTTTATTCATAAAATTGTTAATCAAAATTGCAAAAGTAGATTCATTGAGCCAAAATGAAAGGGAAATGAAACATTCCAGAGACATCTTGAAAGTTCCAAGGAACACATGCTAGGCTAGAAGTCTTTAGTTAACCCATGATTGCACAACAGGTTACATTCATTTTTGCTTTTTCTCAATAAGTGATTCCTTATATTTGCTTTTCTTGAAGCTTATTGA